GGAAGCGGGCGGGCCCTGGCCCGGCACCGCCCCTCCAACAGGTACCGGAGGGGGCTCGGCGGCTCCTGAGCGCTGCCCGGGATGGCCGCGCTTGTAGCGGAGTGCGGGGCTCCTGCCCTGGCGCTGAGGAGCCCAGCAGCCGCACAGGGAGCCTGGGGAGCAGCCCCGCCACTGCCGCGGGTCTGGTGGAGCCCAGCCAAAGTCTGTCAGCTGGGCTGGTACTGCTGGTGGGGCTGCAGGAGGGGCATACGGCCCTCCTACAGCTTAAAATGCTCTATACAAAGGCTGTAGTACAGCTGGTGTACATGGTACCGCTGTAAAGGGCTAACGATGACCAGCATTGCTGTTTGTGGGCAGCGAGTTCCTTTATGAACTCTGAAGATAGGATGTTTGGAGCTGGGGGAGATGTGGGTTTTAAAGGCTGGAAGTTGCTGTCACACAGCCAAGCGTGAATTCAGTTCAGGTAGGCCGGGCTGCAGCTGCAGTTGGAGCTGCTCGTTGTGCTCGGGGCCGCAGGAGCCCCCGGTGAGGCCGAGAGCTGGCAGCCCTTGGCACAGCCAGGGCAGGGAACCCAGGCACGGGGGCAGCCCATCACCCCCAGAGTCTGCCATGCTTACACTGAGGGTTTAAAAGCCCTGGGGTTCCTTTGTTCGGGGTCCTTCCTCAGAGGCACCATTGCTGTTATTTATTTATTGTGCCAAGATTCAGTTATTTTAAGGATCTGGACTGAGACTCTGCTTTGGGAAACCTGGTCTGTGTGTATGGTGTGTGTAGGGAGTCAAGTAGGCAAGTTCAGATCTCAGCTTACTGGGTGTGGATGTAGCTGCCAGAGAGGTGCCTGGATGGTCAGACAGGAATGTTTCCTTAAGAAATTATTAAGGAGGATTAAGCAAAAAATTTGCAGTGGCACTGTATGGAAAATAATTTAATCTGGATTCTTGTCAGCTAATTTTTTCTCAAATAGATGCAGCCCTCTTTAAGCAAAAAAAAACCCCAAACCCCATAAATCCCAAATGAACTCCATGAACACTGAGAAACTCCCATCCTGAAAACAGGTATATTAGATAAAAGATAGTTCCCATTTGAAAGAAAATAACTATTCTGGGATAGCTGTCAGTATTTGAGTTGACCTCTTTTTTTCTTCATGTAATAAAAACAATACTTAATTTTATTGTAAAAAACTCCCAAAATTTGTACAGTAAATTTGTTTACACATTTCAGTAAGTTTATAGTAGGGAATGAAGCTGTTTCAAGAGGTGTTTCTGTTATAAAACCCATTATGTGCCTTAGTGAAGCAAGGGTTGTAAACAAAGTAATTTGTTAACTGCATTTTTGAAGTGCTTTTAGAGTATCATTAATATGATGAAAATACAGCAAAGTACAGGGTGTTTGTCCCGAGAGAGTGAATACAAAACCTCTTAGGAAGTGCTGCTTTGGCTCTTGAGGGACCATCTGTATCAACTATAAATATGTATTTTTTCTCATCTGAATAGCAGAAGGCTCATTGTACTTCAGATTTTTTTCAGTTCCTAAAAATTATGAGAAAATCAGCCTTGTGACAAGCCAAATATAATTTACTTAGTACTTTGCAACTACAGTAAAATGTTCAGAAACTATACAAAGACTTTAGACAGTAAACATGTATTTAATGAAACTGTGGTTCAGTTACACCGGATCCTTGAAGAAGGAGTTCCCAGTACAACTTCATTAACCTGCTTGTATCACAGAACAGTTTCCAGTCAGGCATACACATCCCCATTTGGTCCACCACTAACTCTTCATCTGGTAGATGTGTATGCTTGTGCCTGCCTCTTCAGCAGGCGTTTACCTGAAAGATAAAGTAATAACACTACATTTAAAGAGGCCTTTCTTTGTGAGATAAAATTAAGTAAAACATTTAAAATAATATTGTTTTTAATTTAGCTAAATGTGTCATGCTGAAGACTTGCTAACTTTATTTCTGAGCATTGCTGTGATTACACAAAAGCTATCTCCAAAGTCTTTGCTGGCCTTGTGTCTACTCAACAAGAAAAAAACCTCACAATGTCCCAGGGTTTTTCTCCCACTTGGAAGAAGCTTATCCTTGCTCTAGTGAACTGAAATACGGGTGTATGTGTTTCCTGGGATATGAACTTTTTCCTACAAGGTTTATAGGTATTAACCATCTGCATTGGGATTTTTTTTTTTCATTGTAACTTTTATTATAGTAACAATGGGAGTGACTGATGAAAAACACGGCTTGTTTACTTAAGTGTTAAATTAAACCATACTGTAAATACACTCAGTGTCAGCTGTAACTCACAGCAGCCAAACAGATTATTAAACAGAATTAAATGATCAGGCAGCTGTAAGAAATTTAAAACCTTTTTTACCTTTATTTTTAAGCAATTCTGATTTTTACACTTGAGTGGAATTCAAGATTGGTATGGCTGCATCATTGTAACAGGGGAAAAACCCCATTTTTACTGTCTTGTAAAAACTTTATTTTTTCTTTCTTTTCTGTTGAGAAATATCAACTTTAACAAAACCCCTCACATATCATAGAACTATTAGAAATGCAATAAAAAGCAAAAAATGGATTTTCTAACAATCTGATCTTTAAGTTAGCAGCCAAAAAAGATGAGTAACTACAAATAACTTATCAGCTGTGCTAAAAAATCTTTGCCACACTTTGTCTATCAACTTCTGTGCAACTAAAACTGAAAGCCCACCATTCCTAAACCAAAATCCTTTTTAATATCCCTTCCCCCTACTTTTTCTCCCCTTGCACTGGAAGTATCTTTAATTCTTTGATTATTGGATAATTTTGATTATTTTCCTGTTTTGGTAACTTCTGCAGCAGGAGGACAAAACACTCCATTCTACCTTAACCCTGAATTAACACTGCTATCAAAAAAAACCCCAGACCCTGCAAAGCAGGGTACAGCAGATTTGGAATTACCTTCCTCATCCACCTCCAGCCATTGGTGGTGGACTTGGGCCTCCACCCCAGTGATTTATTCGGCCCATCCTACGCCGAGGATGTGCTGGAGGCCTGAAAAGAAAGGAATTCTACTGTCATTAAACTTTTCAACTAAAAATACAATAACACCATCTCTGAATGTCAGTAGTGAGAAAGTCTGAACCTCTGAAAAGTTGAGTTTCACCTGAGAAGCTGTAAGAAAACCCCAGCCCCACTTTCACAAAAATCCTCTCCTGTTTCATTACTGCTGTGTGATGTGAGAAAGCTACAGATCACTGATGCTTTTACACAGTCCTACCAAACACTTAGGCTGTGGTGTTCATAGGAATTATACCCCTGTAACAGTATTTTGCTTTATCTGTAGGTAATGTAATGCAAGAAATGACTACACTAATGCAAGTCAAATACTGAATATAAACATGTCTAAGAAAAGAATCTTAACAAAGGTGTATCTTGTCTCCTAGGCAGGCTTCAAAAATATTTTCAGAGAGGTGTTAGCCTGTACTGCTATTGCAGCTGTCCAGAGCTGTGTATCGTTACCAAAAATAGTGCAGGTAACTGTGAGGTGCCCCCACCCAGGAAGGCAAAGATTTATTTTCAGATAAGCACTATTAAAGTGAGAGGTGAGGCTTTAAAGCCTGGGAAGTGTGAATTCCATTCCTCTGCCTCAGGAGATGGATCCCTTGTGGGGTGCCAGCCCAGGGGTTCTGACTGGGTTTGAGCCCCTGGGGTTTCTCCCTTACACTGTCCATATTAGTCCTGGACCTTAAATTCTGCCCTGGTTCTGTCCCACAAAACCCATCACCCTGCTTCTGTTCAGCGCTCTCTGTCTCTGGATCTATGCTGAATTTGTTCCTATGTTGAATAAATAGTTTCCTGAGCAAAAGCCTGTCTTGCTGGAGTCTCGTGTCAGTCACTGGAACTGTAGCCTCCCTGGACATGATCCTGGAACACTACAGATAACCATTTTAGCCTTCCTGGACAAACCAATTCAATGCAAATCACAACGGTAATCTACTCAGATTCATGTCACTTCACTAAGATAGGGGAAAAAAACTGGTGTGAATATGAAAATAAAATACCCTCTTCCATCATGGTATCCTGAATAGGAGGAAGACGTGTAGCCTCTTCTTCTCAAATCTGGTTGAATAATGCTCTGGAAACTGAAAAATTAAAACAAGGGTTAGGTGAATGAATAGCTACATGTAGTTTTTTAATTTTTTGTTTGGAAGATAAGAAAATGGCCTGAAAAACAGTAAGTAGTGTTCAGGAATGGAAAGTGTATCTTGTCACGATCACTGTTGTTTAAATCTTGGCAATTTGTCTTCTACATATGAAGAACTAAAACCTGAAATAATTCCAAATTACAGTGAAGCTTAAACTATAAAACCTAGTTTTCTTGTTAATCTGTAAGAAATGCATAAATGTGCAACTGAAACCACTAAGAACTGTTGAATACATCACATGAACTTTCTTTTTGTTACCTGGCTTTGATCTGGGGCCACAAGTTTGTGTTTACTGCTGTGTGATTACTTTTATGTAGTCAGAATCTATTGTCACTGGTAGAAATTATCCAAACAGCAAAATTATTTCATCAGCTAGTATATGCTTTTTACAAGAGTGTGTATTTTCTTTTTGGAGTATCAAAATAGATGAAATGTAAGAAAACTCATTTGAACTACCAATAAGTTAGTGTCACTTTTCGTGCACTTTAAGTATACTATGCTTAATAAACAAATCCACATAGTTGTAGTAAAGCGTTTATACAGATGGAATGCTAGAAAGTAAATACAACATTTTTATTGTTGTGCTACTGATTGCATGGTGTAACTCCCACAAGCTGTCAAATCTAAAATGAAGCTCACCAAAATAATTAACTTCTACTTACAACAGAACCACAAAATCTGCTATTGACCAGAAGAAATCTGTTATAGATGACAAACTCCAGGGAGCCCGACTCTGGTTATCCAAAACTTGTCCTGTAACATATCCAGATACAAAACATCCGGTGACGTTCAGTGTGTATACTATACAGTATATTACACAAAACCAGATCTGCCATGTCCAGGGTTTGCAGCTGGGACAGTGAAACTGCACTTCATGGCAGCGAGTTCCATTTCCTGCAGGTTACTGCCCAAGTACTTGAACTAAAGGGATCGGCACCGTCACAGGGGCTCCGCGTCCAGGAAACCTACAGGAAGGACCAGCGCAGTGTCCGATTCCCCGCGAGAGAGTAACGTGCTGCTCTGTGCCGCTCCCGGTGTCTGCAGCACGCACTCGGACTCCTCAAAGTCCTTAAACCCGCTTTAGAAGCAAACAAGGCTCGGCCGCAGGGCAGCGGGGGGTGACGCGACACCGGCAGCGGGCGGACCCTGCCGGGCTGTCCCGGCTGCGGCGGCGCTGGGGGGCCGCCCCCGGCCGCTGCCCTGCTCCCGGNCCGCGCTCCTCGTCACAGGGCACCGCCGGGCGGGCCCCGAGACTGACGGGGATGTGTTATCCGCTCAGGACCGCCTGCTACCCGGGGGTCCCTGTCAGCAGCCCTGTTACTAACGAGTGTTCCCTCGGGGGAATCGCGCTGTGCACCCGGGGTGACCCCTGAGCAGCCGCTGTTATAACGAGGCTCCTGTCAGTGCCCTGCACCGGGTCCCCCTCAGCAGCCGCGGCGGGGCCCGCCTCGGGCCGGACGGCTTCTCCCTCCCAGCCGGCGGGTCCGCTACACCCTAAAATGGATTCATTTTAGGGGTTCCAGAGCTTCTCTGCCGCCTTTAGTAATAGTAACGAGAGTTGGAATAGTCTGTCCGGCTTTCATAAAAACTCTGCATCCCTAGTTGCCTTCCGTAGTAATGATAGAAATATGACCAAGTGCAGAGATGATTTAACACTTCTCTCCAAAGGGAGCTTCTGTTCTCTCTGTTTAATGACAAGTATGTGGCTATGCATATTCACATTATGTTCGTGGGACTGTTCAACTCTAAGTCGGGCTTTTGTTTTAATTTATTTGATTTTTATAAAAACCTTGCCCTGCAAATAGTGGCTTGCATTCCTTTTCTAGGAGAACACATGCTTGTAAAATTTGGGGTAACTATACCGCTTTATAGGCAAATTCAATATAACACCTTCTCTCTCTTAGTTTTTAAGCTAAACTAATAGAGAAGGGATGTTTAATTCTGATGTGAAACAGCGGTAAAAAAATTTACGTAAAAATGCTTTCATCCTTCCTTTGCAATAGCTGTATTTTCTTAGTGATGATGAGGTAAAATCCTTTGCTAAGAGTGGCATAACAGAAGAGTGTTTTCTGAAGTTCAAATTGTAATACAGTGTCTCTGACAGTGCAGCTGTTCCCCCAGTAAAAAAATCGTTTACAACTGACAGGTGTTTATAAATGTGACCCCTCATGCATCTGAAGGAGATCGCTTTATTGCAGGGCCTTCTTAACAACTTTAACAATTATAACCCATATCCCACATGCCAAAGCATGTAGTGTGTTTCTGTTATCTGTAAAAGCTGTCTTAACTGTTCAGCATACATTGGACTGTCTGATTTTGGTGATAGCTTGGTTGTAAATACATTCGAAAGAGGGAAAAAAGCTTTAGCACACTGATGCTGTGGAGTTGCTTGTAGATAGCAGGAACATTCTTATCAGCCACCTGGTGGTAGAGGTATGGGCTGTTTGACTGAGGAAACTCCTACATGAAAAGTGGGAAGGAAGCTGGGAAGACTTGCATTCCTAGTAGACAAGGTGCTACTGTTTGTCATTTATTTTTATTTTTGTGTCTGAGGAGACTACAACACAAAATAGATGCTGGAATCCTCTGTCCTCACTGATGTGATATCCCTGAAAATATGTGCAGCTGGGGTATCCCAGTGCTGTTTCCTGCTGGATATGCATTTACACTGATGACTGAGCAAGTAGAAGTGTTTCTTCTTGATTCATATTTGCTTTCCTGTGTGTTTGGAGCTTTGTGCCTGCATTTGGAGCTTTTTAATGGGCACTTGAACATGCCATTGCTGTGGCAGGAGTGGATTTCCCCTGATGAAGCAAGGCTGAGAGTGCACAGCAGCTGGAGCTCTCCTGCAGTGTGGGCATGGAGTGATCAGCTGTGCTGTGCACACTGAGGACTGGCAGGTGGCAAAGATGTTGTGTGGATAAGGAGTTCTGGAATCAACAGATTTCAGCAAATGGAACCCTGTTTTTCCTCTCTGTGCAGCAGTAATGGCCAGCAATTTCCTAATGGCCAGCAGTTTCCTCATCAGTGGAAACTGTAGAACAGTATATAACAAGATTAACAGAAATTTTGAGAATTTCACTTACTGCATTGGAAAGGGTGATGCAAATAAGGTAACAAATTCAACAAAGCTCTATCTGTTGCTAGAGGCATCTCTGATACTTGATACACCTTTTTAGCTGTTAAACTTCAACTGCTTCAGACTTAACAGCCAAGGTAAAAATAGCACCTAGGATACTTTGCAGAAGTAGGTGGATGAAGCCAATTCCATAATCTATTTGGTGAATAAAATGGTGATAACTGGAATGTTGTTCTAAAGAGCTTTTATGGTTCTGTTGTATTAATATCAGTTTTTTGTCTTCCAATGGAATATGTTTGTGCAATCAAAACACTTTTGAATGGGTGCAAACTGTGTAGGTATTTTAAAAGCACGTGGTTTTTGAAGATGGGATGGACTCACAATGGCAAAGTTGATGCAGGACTATATTCCATGTAAGGAACTTCGTGCTAGAGGAGGGAATGACTCTTTGAGCAGTGGCTGAAACAACCTGTAATGAACTAACCATCAGCCCCATTCCCTGTCTCCCTGTGCTGCTGGGGACAGGAGACAGAGCTGGGGAAGGAAAGAGGAGTAGGAGGAAGGTAGTTTTAAGGTTTATTTTACTTCTCATTATCCTGCTTTGATTTGTAAACAATAAATTCAATTAATATGCTGAATTTGTGTTTGTCTTGCCTGTGATGTTATTTGGTAAGTAATCTCTCTCCTGGACTGTAAAGCATGAACTTTTCATTATATTTTCTCTCCCCTATCCATTTGTGAAGGGGAGTGAAAAACTGGCTTTGATGGGTGCCTGGTGTCCAGCCCACCACACAGAGTGAATTGGAAAGTGCTGTGTAATATCTGGTTGTGGAACACGCACCTCCTAACAGATTAACTCGTATCCAAAAAATCGCATTTGCTTCTGTCATTATCACATGATAGAGGACCCTAAAGATACTGATTTTTAAATAAAAGTGACACTCTTTATTATCCTATTTACTGCATTTTCCACTTTTTTTCTCATTTAATGCAATCCATTGCATTATACTTTATAATCTAAAATATAACGTACATGGGCTCAGTGCTATCAAAAGCAGAACTAGCCCCCAGTAAGAAATTGAATATAAACTTGAATATTTTGTTCATTTTCATCAGACTGCATGACAAAACCATGGTTTCAGTTCTTTACGGTCATATTGTCATGACTTTCAATATTCTTCCTTTATGCCTGACTTAAATGGGTTTTAAATTCAGAAGGAGCAAATTCAGAAGAATTTCCAGTAACTTCTTTATGTTGAAAATGAATTGCAATTGAATTATCCTGTTTTTCATGCTTAAGGAAGCAGAAAAGCCTACCTGTAAAGAATTCTGAAGTGCTAATTTTATTCACCAATAACTACAGTAAAAATTAAAGTTCTCCAGCAATCTAGTCAATGTGAAGCTGAGCTTCAGTGGTAGAGAAAAAGAGTGCAAGCCAGACTAAGTAGTGACATGATAAAATTTCTAGAGTTCTTCCATAAAGTAATATGTTGATTCTAATTACTGCATTAAAAAAACAAAAGGGACCTTATAGTGCTATTGAAGAAGATAGTAAAAGTGCATTTCTGTTAGAAGCAAAGGCAGTAATCTATATATTTTATATGTATTATATACCACCTATCTATATAGGTGGTATCTGAACAAATAAATAATGGGAGAGTTGAAATATATAAACATGTAAATGGATTAAATTTTCATTTTCTTTGGTAACACAAACATTTGACGACAGTGAAAATTAGCTAACAGGTATCTTTATAGTCTCCTGACAGAAAAGCACTTCCATGCAGAAGAAGGTTGTTCTTCCCACAAACCACCCCCCAAACCTGGTCAGACTGTTTTCTTGAAAAAGACTTTAGAATCAAGCATTTTTATACTTTTCTTTCATGGTAGGATTCTCCCATTCTAGGTTGCTGTCAAAACTAAATTTCTTTTTGGAAGAAGTGGACGTGAGTTTAAGGAAAGACATTTTTTCCTTAGGCATTGGATTCCTTCAGTTTTCTTGCCCTTGGACAAAAAAAAAAATAAAAAATCTGTGAGAATCAAGAGGAGTTGGATACTTTTGACTAAGAACAGTGTTTAAATTTGTCCTTTAGAACCAGTCAGGGATATAAGCAATCACCTCTGTGTCTCCAAGCAGTAGGAATTAAGCTGAGATGTTTGAGTAAGTAGCTTATTCTCATATCCCAACTGGTATCTCTTGAGCTTTTCTTTGAAGTGTTTGACAGCAGGTACTGAAAAGAGCTACAGCAAAGCATTTTATGCCTGGAACCCCTTTCAAAGACTTTCCAGTCATCCTTGCTGCTTTCTCCTTACCCTCCTGCTGTGGAGCTGCAGCCTTTCTGTGCATATTAGAGGGAGTCATTGGGCTGCAAGATTTACTTCTCTTTGTGTGTGTTCCAGCTTCAGGTCTCCCATTAGTAACAGAGGTTTTCACAGTCTGTCTCGGCAGTGTTTGTCTAACTCATTTCTAAGGCAAGGTAATCCTGTCCTGCACTGTCCCACTGTGACATGGTCTTGCAGAGAGCCAGTGAAGACCAGTTCATTGTGAGGATGAAGACAGGCACCAGCATGAGCATGCAAGGATGTTAACAAGCAGGTCTCATGGCTAGTTTCCTTATGAAGGATATACCCCAATCCAACTTATTGCAGTCCAGTTGTTTTGGCAGCATTTATTTCCTGAAGCTCGCTAAGTGATGTTGGGTATCACTTGTGTAAAGCTTTAGGTGGGTATGACTCGTGGAGAAGGTGCTTCTGAGCAATTCCCACCTGCACCGTGACCCTGGGGGCTGGGATCTGCTGCTGACCCATCACAGCTCACACGTTCCCGACAGGTAACAGGGAGAGGGGCTCTGGCTCTTCACCTGGCTGCCAGAGGAAAGGACAAGGGTGCCAGGCTTGAGGCAGCTGCTTCTGTTTGTCGTGCAGAAAATCTGCAGGGCTGTGGCAGCGGGGTAAGCAAGAGACAGTCGGCGATGAAGTTCTGTGTTTAATTGGCTGTTTTCTTCTCTTGGAGACCCGTCCTGCACCCTT